CCGCGTTGTCTCCAAACCAAACGCTAGCTTAGTACGCCCAGTGCTGGTATCACCAACACACTGAAAACAGCGCCCGAGGTGAGAACACCACCCGGGGTAAGAACACCACCCGAGGTAAGAACATCACCCGAGGTGAGAGCACCACCCGAGGCGAGAACACCACCCAAGGTGAGAGCACCACCCCAGATGAGAACACCACCCGAGGTGGGAGCACCACCCGAGGTGAGAACACCACCCGGGGTGAGAACACCCCCCGAGGTAAGAACACCACCCGGGGTGAGAACACCCCCCGAGGTAAGAACACCACCCGAGGTAAGAACATCACCCGAGGTGAGAGCACCACCCGAGGCGAGAACACCACCCAAGGTGAGAGCACCACCCGAGATGAGAACACCACCCGAGGTGAGAGCACCACCCGAGGTGAGAACACCACCCGAGGTGAGAGCGCCACCCCGGGTGAGAACACCACTCGGGATGAGAACACCACCCGAGGTGAGAACACCACCCGAGATGAGAACACTACCCGGGGAACAGGCGCCACGGCCGTCCGCTGGTCCAGGCCACCTACCTATGTCGGTGGCGCCGTGTCCCGCAGACTCTTCGGCGTGTCCACTCAGCCTGCTGAGCGCCTCTAGGTAGGCCTTGGAGGCGGCTGACGCTCCTGGAACGAAGACGAGGCACGACGTTAGAACACAGAAGGCGCGCGAACACTTCACACGACAGATCCCCCCAGCATTCCCACGCCCATAAGTGCCCGCATGAGGGGCGTACTGAGTCTGTCGGGCGCGCTGAGTGGCGCCGCGAGTAGAGGCACCGTTCCGAGAGATGGAACGGTGATCAGGCAGGTGGACTCGACTAGGCTGAGGAAGGGAAGGAGGGCGGAGCAGCACGGCGGACACTCCTCCGGTGAAGACAGACTGACAGGCGGCCAGAACAGAGACGGACATGCTGTTTGACTCCATGCAGGTGGACTGCCAGTCTGCTGTCTCAGGGCACCGCGGCGCACGCCGTCGGGCATCCTCTTATGGAGCACCAGCGACCGCGGAGATCATATTAGCGCCCAGAGGCTAGGGCTCTCCCGGGGTTCGAACCTGGGCTCTCGCGCGGGATGCCAAGGTGCACTCGGTCACTACGCCCCTGTAAGCCCGTGAGCCAGCCAAACGTACTCGATCTTTGGGCACTGGGCAGCATCATATACCCCTTGGTCTGCTCAGTCGGTGATGCACACCGCGCGGTCTCACCGGCCTGGGAAGCCCGCCAGACCACCAGACCACCCCTCCAACGCCTTCCGGAGCGTGGCAGCCAGACAGAGTCAGGCTGACAGGCTGACAACCCGGCGAGCCCATCCAGGACGGCACAGTCAGGCCCGGCAGCCTGTGAACGGCCCGCCCCAGCCCGCCGGCGGCCGGCGAGTCCGTACAACCGTCGACGGCGACGGGCGGCGCGGCGCCGACGCGTCGGCGGCCGCCTCGCCAGGCCGAAGCCCCGCGACCGTCGGCGGGCCGCCGGCGGGGCTTCGGCCCGGCACCCGACCTCGCGCTCAGCGGTGCCCGCTGTCCCGACGGCGCCGCCCGCCGCCGACCCCCCCCCCCCCCCTCCCCCCGCAAGCCCCGCGACGACCGTGGCGCCGCCTGTCGGCAGGATGTGGCGGCTGGCGCTGCGTATCCGACGGCGCTGCTTCTGTCTCGCCGAACAGGCGGTAACGCGCTGCCGTGTTCGTTACGGGACGGGACAGTCATCTCACGCTCCGAGATACTCAGATTTCAGGCTTGAAGGCTACGTGGGCGACTTGCAAACTGACCTGCTATTTGGGTGGTGAAAAAACAAACAAAGGATACACAGCACATTTTTCCGAGTTTTTCATTTCCATTTTCAGGGTCTCGATTTTTAGGTTCCCATCATAGTGCTTGCTCATTTGAAATATCGCGGATTTTCGATTAACCTAGTTTCCCCTCATCCATTTCACCTGGGTTCTTCCTCCACTTGATCGCTGCTTTTCATTGCTGGCCCCCGCATATGGGAACAGGACTGTATATTCGAACGCACAAAACACAAGGCTCATTATGCTCATTTAGCTTTGAACTTAAAATTCCTACAACCGCCATTGCTTGGAGCCACTTCCATTACGCAAGACAAACGTGGGATGAAACCACCACGCGGCGCCACACAGCGACGCATCTTAACTCGTGCCGCCCAGCCTGCGGCGACCAAAAGGTCAGGCAGGTCATGCGCCGCCGGGGGCAGTCAGCTGGCGCGGCTGACCGCAGTTTCCTGCGGCGCGCCGGTTTCGTCACGGCGGCGCGGCGCGGGCCGCGCGCCGCTGCTCCCGTGACCTCCGCTGACGCCGTGGAGGCGCCTCGTGAAGCAGAGCAGCACTCTTCAGCGGCGGAGAGGTCGGCGGAGCGGTGCCTGCGGTCGTCACCGGGTCAACCCTGCGAGAGAGGGGAGGGGGAGGCGCTCCGACCAGCCGCACGCGGGCTCTGCTGTTGCCGTGCTTCGGTGCGTTTTGGCGGCAGAGTCGAAGCGTGCTGAAACCGGCCCGATCAGGCCATCGAGTATGGCCAGTCGCTGCGAATGCGTTCGGAGGCCCATGAGGCTGGGTTGAAGGTAAGGCACGCATTGAAGTGTTCCTATATGGATGATGCAAGATTTTATTACGCCTCCATTGCATTTTACGTGCACAATACGTGCACATTGCATTCATGCATCAACACTTGCACGCATATAACTGATGTCAACTGCCGGTTAATAATTTCAGAAGCGTTCTCCGTCGGGGACGGATTCTCCACGCGACTCTGAGGACCGGAATTGCCTGCTTTCGTAACTCATTCATGGTCGTGGCCGTATGGATGACCCGACTAAGTCTTAATTTAGCTGGCGCGCCTCGCATGCTGGAAGCACTAAGCCCGGCCATTCCAGAGCCAGAGGCTCCAAATGAACAGCCGCCAGCGAGCTTTTCAATTAGGCGCCGGCGACCCGAAAACAGATGGTGCCCAGCCGCGGGCGCAGAGAACAATGCCACGCATCGGACAGTGGACACACCCACCGCCGCACGGCCGCTGACCCGCAGGTCAAGCCGCTGACGCAACGTGACCGCCGGTGGTCCGTGACCCGGCCTGACCTGGCGTGACCTCTCGTGCGACGGCGCCGGTGCCGTGCGCCGTCGCCTCGCTCGGTACGCTGGCGGCTGGGGTGTGACGCCGCCGCCGGCACGGCACGCTGCGCGACGAGGCCCGACCGAGTGCCGTTGTCCCGCGACACGCGACCGCCGGCAGCCAGGAGACGGGAGCCGGGAGACGGGAGACGGGAGACGGGAGCCGGGAGACGGGAGACGGGAGACGGGAGACGGGAGACGGAAGCCGGGAGACGGGAGACGGGAGACGGGAGACGGGAGACGGGAGACGGGAGCCAGAGACGGGAGACGCGAGTCAAGAGACGGGAGCCGAGACGATAGCCGGGAGACGGGAGTCAGGAGACGGGAGTCGGAGTCGGGAGTCTGGAGTCGGGAGGCGGCAGACGGGAGACGGTAGCTGGAAGGCGGAAGCCGGGAGGCGGGAATCGGGAGCTGCGAGATGGGAGTCAGCAGCCGGTAGCCGGGTGCCGGGCGGATTGGAAAACGCAAACAGTCAGGGGCCGGGTCAGGTCAGCTGACCGAGCGGCAAAGCTACAAACAGCACGGGAGGCGGGGCGAGGTCACTACACATCCCGGATTGTTCGATGAGGTGGTGCCGCTGCTGAAGATCAAGGCCGCTGGCTGTCAAATGGCGGGGCGGGGAAGAGGCCGTCACGCTTGCTGGTTTACTTCGCGCTTACTTTACTACCCTAATACAGCCACGCATCCGCGTGTGTATAGTTGAAGCCTCCGCATCCGTACCTTGGTCGTACGTGCAGTGAAATCTGCCCAGCATCGTCTCACACCTGCCGTCACGTCACGCTACGTCACGTCAAGTCGCGGCTCGCTCCGTCCCGCGCAGTCGTGAGAAGACCGGCACCTGCCGGCGCCCCTGCTCCCATCCCCCTCATCACCCCTCCCCCGGCTCGGCTTTCAGGTCTCCAAGCTAAGTGTCAAAGAGCGTCGGAGGCGCTCCAGGCCCGCTCGATGTTTTGCCACTTCCCCGCGAAAGCTTCCAATCGGCAGAGCCGGCGGCGAGTTGGGATTTGCAGCGGAAGCTTTCGATATATTTGCAGTCGATTAAGCCCCGCGGCACACAGAGGAGCGTGTTTTCTCTGCGTGCCCAGAAATCCACACCACTGCAAGTGCCAGAGAGCTCCGTGGCAAACTGGTTGGGTTGGAGGCGTGAGCTGACATGCAAGTATCTGGTTACTTGAAGTTTCAGGAGCAATTCTAACATTGCTTCTGGACTTATCCAGTCACGCTCAATAATGGCCTGTTTGCTATCGACCACCTGGTCATCCGACGTCTACGCACGACCGTCGAAGTAGTTGCATCGTGTTACAATAATCTAATCTTGGTAACGGCGTCAAAACACACCACGCGCAAGAATCATGTCGGTGGTGTGCAGTTTGATAGATGCTTGACTGCCCCGTTAACCACACATGTCCCGAAGACCACCGCAGCCATAGCCATGAGCTCGCAATGCTTCACGGACCCCGATCACTGCCTGGAGCTGACACAACGTCGAGATCGATGGAGTGGAGCTGATGCTGCCGACAATCAGCTGACCCCGCCCCCTTCCCCTCCCCCGCCGCCCGGCTGCAGCGGGGAGGCATGTCTGAGCGGAGGATTACATTACGCCCGGCAATCACGGGCGCCGGGAAATTGCGTGGAGACGCCCGCGAGCAAGCACCTCCTCATGTGCAGACGCCCGCGAGCGAGCACCTCTTCGTGTGGAGACGCCCGCGAGCGAGCACCTCCTCATGTGGAGACGCCCGCGAGCGAGCCCTCCTCATGTAGAGACGCCCGCGAGCGAGCCCTCCTCATGTAGAGACGCCCGCGAGCGAGCCCTCCTCATGTAGAGACGCCCGCGAGCGAGCACCTCCTCATGTAGAGACGCCCGCGAGCGAGCACCTCTTCATGTGGAGACGCCTGCGAGCGAGCACCTCATGTAGAGACGCCCGCGAGCGAGCCCTCCTCATGTAGAGACGCCCGCGTGCGATGACCTCATGTGGAGACGCCCGCGAGCGAGCACCCCCTCATGTGAAGACGCCACGAGCGAGCACCTCCTCATGTGGAGACGCCCGCAAGCGAGCACCTCCTCATGTGGAGACGCCCGCGAGTGAGCCCTCCTCATGTGGAGACGTCCGCGAGCGAGCACCTCCTCATGTGGAGACGCCCGCGAGTGAGCCCTCCTCATGTGCAGACGCCCGCGAGCGAGCACCTCCTCATGTGGAGAAGCCCGCGAGCGAGCACCTCCTCATGTGGAGACGCCCGCGAGCGAGCACCTCCTCAAGTGGAGACGCCGCGAGCGAGCACCTCCTCATGTGGAGACGCCCGCGAGCGAGCACCTCCTCAAGTGGAGACGCCGCGAGCGAGCACCTCCTCAAGTGGAGACGCCCGCGAGCGAGCACCTCCTCAGCGGCGCAGGCGGCGCAGCTCCGACCGCCGCCCGGAGAGGGGGGGGGGGGGGGCGGGGGGGGGCAGCTCATCGACTGCAGCTACTAACTCTTCTGGACCGTGAGCATGCCCGTTCGCTCTGTGGA